GCCCTCAGATCCCCCGCGAAAAGTGACTAAATTTTAGTGGGTCAACTGGAAACCACTCAACCCTAAAAGGCTAAATAAAAAGCCAAAAAAAACGATGGCTGGGAGCCAAGGAAACCAAGCTGGCCGGTGCGAGAAGTCGGGAATGAGTTGGAATGAGCCGTTGGGAATTCCCGAAAAAGGGAAACCACCACTTGGATGGAAGCCACGAAGCTGTGATACGGCCATGGGTCAAAAGCCCGTACCCCCAGTGAACATCCCAATCCCCACTAAAATCGGTTCTAAATGGGTGGTGCACCGAAAGCCACAAAATGGGATCCCATTGGTTTTCACCCACTGCCATACAACAAATAACGGGCTTCCCAAATTCACTCACCCCCCACAAAGGGGGAGATTCCGGAAGATATCACAGAAGCGGTTGGAGAAACCCCGAGTGATCCCACAACCCTGCATTTCCCTGTATAGGAAACCAAGGAAACCAACCGATTCAAAAAATGAAGGAGCACGGCTGGGACTAACAGTGTTGGCAAAGGTTTATATGGGTCTGCCTGTGTTTGAGGTAGGACACCAAGAAAACTGCCCTTTTACACAAGCAGAAGGAAAGTGGCTGGCATTAAGATTCATCCAAATGTTGATGTCAAACCCTCGAGCGAAAGGACGTACCATGGCCCCTGCGTCCGGTTGGAAATCCAAACGACATGGGAGACGTCTTCAAACAAGTACTCTTGTCTGGACCTGGAAGTATTATGGGGTTTTGCAAGACTCCTCTTGAATCGCCTCTTCCACCACCACTGTTTGAGAGAGGGTCAGCCTGGAACTTATTTTTTGACCTTGTGGCACCCCTACCAGCACTTTGAAAAGTATGGGTCCTCCCTAAAATAGGTAGGACACTTCTTTTGGCTTTCTTCATTAAAGCGAAGCTAAGGTTACCCCACCATACACCCAGACCTCCAGTATGGGGACAAAGAGCAAAAAGGCATCTTTCTAGGTCATCGATTTAGGGAGGCCCTGTAATAAACCCAACCTACCCGAGTAAGTTAGGAGCCGCTCTGACTAACTTCGGGGCTCCCCTCCCGAATTTTTCGCAATCGCAAGCTCAATCTCCTTGGTTGACGTTGGGAGGGGAGCAAAAATTATCAAGCTTTAGCAGTTCAGTGCTTGGATTTCAACCACTAAACCGTACCACACTAAGCCAAAAATGTGAAGCATGTTTCCCCCCAGCAAAAAACAACAACAAAAAATAAACATGTTAAGGGGTACCTCAAGTAGGGGCCACCCAAAACCGATCACCTGATCTTTCCAACAAAAAAACATGTCTCAGGGCAGCGGGCTTCTTGTACCAGACGGTGGCCAAGTCCTGCCACTCTGTTCGCGCCGCTTTCCGCGCCCAAACCCGGCTGGGTAGGGAAAATGAGATGCTGGTTCGAGGGATGCGGGGAAGGACTCACCATTTTTTTTTGGAGGGGGGGAGGGGTCGGCGGGGGGGGGGAGGGGTCGGCGGGGGGGGGGAGGGGTCGGCGGGGGGGGGGAGGGGGGGGGGGGGGGGAGGGGGTCTCCCTAGTTTGAGAGAAACCAAAGTGATGGAATGGCTTTGGGGAGTTCATCTTGCTGGTTCGAGAGATGCAGGGAATGAGAAATGGAATGACCCGACCAAAAAAAGATATCGCGTATGGTTTGAGGGAGTCCCTAGGTTCATTCCCACCCCCTGAGTCATTCAGAGCACCAGCAAGGCACGGTCAATACTTGGGTGTGTCTGATTTTTCAGGGGATCCTCTCCAATTTCTGGCTTTCCTTTCGGATTTCCTGTAAGACCACCAAGGAAGGGGTACCCTCACAAAAAGATGCCAACTCAATTGTGTCAGACATGATACTTTGGTGAACCACCATTTCCTAACGTATGTTGGTGAGTGTGCCCAATGTCATCCCCTTTACTGCAGCAGATAACAGTAGTACTGACCGTTACTCAAATGATTTCTTGGCAAAGTACTAGAATTCCCCGAGGGACCTTTCGGAATCCCGGAGCTTTCATGGGCGAGCTCGTGTAACTGTAAGGGGAGTTTGTTTTGACAGTCGGCGCAGCTGGATAAGGTAAACCCGAGACACTGGGAGGTTTGTCCATGTCTGTCGTTCTTGAGGGCACCACGAGTTTGTTCGCTTCTAAAGAAACAAACACAAGGACACCCCTTGAGCTATTGCTGGAGTTCTAAAACAAACAAGCCACCTATGTGAATTTGCAGTTCGAATGTGTACCGTGCTGAATCCTCCAAAAACCATATGTTAGAAAGAAAGAAAGCAGGAACACAACACAGAAACAGTCACTGTTGTGAGCTCCAACAAAAAACACGAGCCACACACGTGTTTCTCATGGTCTTTTCAAATCCAAGTGGCGGAAGCTTCAACCGAAGGGTCCAAGCCTGGGGGATGTTTTGAAAGGTTTTGGGATGTTGCGGGGCACCGGTCTGAGCGACAACTTCTGCTAAGATGGACCTCCCGGTAGATCGCATGATATGAAAACACCCATACAACTCAGCATGTCGCCTCCGAACGCGGAAAAACAGAAACACACACGGAAAAGAACGGAAGCCCACCACTGCCGGGGCCGAACCGGCCAGACTCATGTAGGCATTGTCCCAGCACTATGCCATGGAACCATCTGACTCATCTGACCATCTGATTCATCTGACTCAGGGGTTGGGAATGAACCTAGGGACTCCCTCAAACCATACGCGATGCTCTTTTTCTGTCGGGTCATTCCATTTCTCATTCCCTGCATCTCTCGAACCGTCTGACCCTGCCACTTGTGGTCACAAGAACACGGGCCTCCGCCTTCGGAAAGCTTGAGGATGTCTTGCCAGCAGGTTTTGGGGCTGGCAAGACCGGGAAAAAAAAAAAAAACTGGCAAAAAGTGCACTTGCTGGTCGAAAGGGCAAACAAAGGAAGGCCAAAAAAGGCAAAAGTTGAAAACGGCAAGAGAAGTCTGGTAACCCTTTGAACGGGCATTTTGCTCCGTAATTTAAGCATGCGACGTGCGACTAGTCTAAAGCTGACTTGGGGAGGACACAGGGAGTCTCCGCAGTTACCGGTTCACCCACAATGATCTGGGGTTCACCCCATCTAAACATTTGGTTTTCAAGTGTTTCGTAGTTTCCTTATTTCAGGTAAACCCTAGTTGGCGGTTTGGATTGGTGATTCGGGGATTTTAACACCTGGTGCTTTTTTGAGGGTCAATAGGAAACCACCCCTCAAACTCCAAATCGCCAAACCAAACCACCAATCAGAGGGGCGCTGCCTTTTTGGCCTCAGTATACTCTGCTCCCAATTTACGCCAAAATAACAACACCCATTATAATACCCCCTATAATACTATCATCACCACCCCACCCAAGGGAAACTCAATTATCATTCGCTTCTCCAAAAGTGATGCTGAAAAAAACAAAAACATGGGTTTGTTCTTGAGGGTGCTCTTTGGGTTGGGCTTTAGAGGGACACCAACGGGCCCACCGTGCAGCTGTTGTTCGTTGTTTTTTGTGTGTGTGGGGAGGGGGGGTCCACCAATGGGTATGGCTCAAAAAATTACAGACCTAGGGGCAAACCGCAGGTTTTAGTCTTTCGTTCCATTTACCCAGGTGCCAATCAATCCGTTTTCCCTATGCTTCCTCGACTATTCTTTAAATAGCCTCGACCATTTAAAAAACGAAAGGCTATAAAAGTAATGTCCCTCGAACATTAAAAGTAGGTCTAGACAAACTTGGCCAACTTGAGACGGCTGGCTCCTGACATCCCCGCGAGCTTCTGATAGTGAGAGGTTGAAGAACTTTATTGCTGCCTTTTGTGAAATAAGCTAAGTATGTTTTAAAGTCGCTTCATCCTGTTGCAATATGTTGCAATCACACGCCGTCACCATGCTGTGCCAATTTGGCTTGTCACTGACATGCCCGTGCGTGCTTTTCCGCTTCTTGTCCACAGCTCCACAGAGTCTGATCGTGTGTCGCTTGTTGATTGTTTAATCGAATTCGAAAGAAAATGAGGCGTGGACAAACCATGGACAAACCGTGGAAAGTACGTGTTTTAGCGTGGAAAGTACATCTAAAAGCGTGGAAAGTACATTTAAAGCGTGGACAACGATACTCCCAGGAGCCCACAACGCATGCCTGATCGGCAGCGATGCCCCGAAGCCACTAAGTTTGCAGCATTGTTCAAAAAAGCCGGACTTCAGTACCAACATGCGAAGAATCTATGCGCGCATATATACGGTAGGCGGGACACCTGGCGATTTTGAAAAGTGATGTGACCATACAATTGGCAAGCCGGGGAATGAGTGGCTTGGGCGCAGTCATTTGCAGCTGGGAAGATGAGGGCGGCGTGACTGTCAGTGACCTGACTCTAAGCAATCCTTGGGCAGCAAACGCCATGATTTCTTGGATATTCAGGGCCAGGCGCAAAAAAACGGTCTTTCGGCAAAAAACAGCCTAGCGACCTCGACCATTCTTTTAATGGCCTTTGGAAGCCTAGGGTTTTGGTACATGTTTTTGAGCAGCCACGGGACAACATCGCCATATTTGCCACGCACAAGTAAGCAAACTTGAGGGAGCATTCTCGCTCTACCCAATACCAGCGCTACGCCCACTCAGTTCCTCAGTCGTCTCGGTTCGTTAGTCCCCCGGTTTATCACTTCTCTAGGCTGTCCGTGAAAACGGATCCGCGAAAAGTGACGGACTTTTAGTGGGCTAAACTCTCAGTTGTTGAGTGACCCTGGAAAAAAAAGGGAACCCTTTTTTGGGCTTGGACCGAATTTTAGTGGGGCAGCCACCCAAAAAGAAGGGAAAAAGAAACAGGGGGCCACTGAACAACTGAGTAAATGGAAACCGCCACCAAACACTAAGATTCTAAAAGGTGGGAACCATCGAGTTCTGGGATGTCATAAACCCCTCACTCCCAAAGATCCCTCGCGAGAAAGAAACCAGCGAAACCGATCCCCTAAAAGCAAAACACGTTCGGGTTACATACGGCAGCCCAACCACTGAGCCAACCAAAAAAATCGCCTCAAAAACCGAACTTGGTTGGCGTTGGAAGGGGAGCAAAAATTATCAATTTTTAGCAGTTCAGTGGTTTTGGATTTCCAGCACTAAACCCACAATAAGCAAAAATGGGCAACATGCTTCCCAACAACAAGCATGTTAAGTTCAACCGGACGACTCGCTTGAGTTCCGCCCGGCCACCCGCCGGAAGCTCGACCCGGCCTCCGGGGGCCCGTCGCGCCAGCCGAAGCGGAAGATCAGCATGCCCCCGGCGGCCAGCCTGCGCAAGCAGCGAGAAAGGTGGCGCGCGCGGCAGGGACTTCTGCTGGGGGGGAGGGGGGGAGGGGGAGGTGGGGGAGGGGGAGGTGGGGGAAGTGGGGGAGGTGGGGGAGGGGGAGGGGAGTCAGTTGCAAGCAGAACGGGGGCAGATCCAGAGGAAAACCGAAGCCGAAGCCATTTTGAGGGGGAGTTCCCGTACAAATAGTAAAATAAGGCGAGCCATCCACATACACTTTACGAACCATGTAAAGCATTAAGAAGCCGGGTATCGGCAACTATTTCTGGCTGGGACTGCCCCATACTAACCGGATACCCGAATCGGTTTTGAGCACGTGGCTCACGTGTGTTTTGTCTCCACTCGCCAATGGAGCCTACCCAGGACTGCAGCTGCACCATGCCCGCCAGAGATTACCCTTTTCTGGGATTCTTCGGTGCCCACAGGTATCCTGAACTCATAACCCTGGTAAATGGTTTACAAAACCTCTAACCCAGTGGAGCCCATCTATGTCTAAGCAAACTTACCGATCAAAAAGACACCTATGATCCCTACGCAGGGATTCTGGGCAGTCCAAACTGATCCCCTGCAAGTTTAACTTGGTGGGTGAAATGGAAGCTACCACTAAACCAACTAAGAACCACTAAAAACCTGAGGAACCGAGCTGGGAAGCACGGAGTTTCGGTGCCTCTGAACTGGCTCCTCAGCCCAGCAAATAATGGGAACCCTGGATGAAGTTAAACTCCTGATTGATTTGGATCAGGGATTCATCACTGAAGGGAACACACACCCCTAGGAACAGGACGGGTTTGCTACTCCGGGGTCAAAATCCACAAAAAGGCGAACATCCATGACACAGTCTAAGCCCCACAATGAAATCCCGTTGAACCGAACTGGTTCGTCCACTTCCTGCAGAGGATTGGTCGGCAGATTCTAAATCAGCTTCCGTTCCAAAAGAAGCCCGTCAGGAAAGAAAGTGAAACCGCACGGGCAAGCCCCGGCATGGGTGTGTCCTTTTTGAGGGCACGCTTTTTGTCGTGGTTTCACAAGGAAACCAAAAGGAAAACCGCCATTTTTCGGTGGTCCCCTACAAAGAGATACATACCCATAGGGTCGCTCCGGGAACGAGCTAGATCCCCTGCAAAAAGTTAGCTCATTGCTGGGTAAAAGCGAAATTGAAGAAAGCCCCAAAGGCAAAGGGGCCAAAAGGGTGGTTAAGTCTATCAATGTTGTGAGCGGCCAAGTTCACATGATTAGGTTCCTCGATGTTTAACCATGGAACCTGCAGATTCCCCACAAAAGCCAACTCTCCAACGGTGGGTTCAAGAAAGGTGTGTTTGTTCCCGGCCAACAAAAAAAACACGAATCAGGTGGGACTCGGAATCGAAAGAAAGAGAACTAAAAACGAGGACAAAGAAGGCAAATCAGGTGGGACTTGTTGACTCGAAAGCTCGGCGCGAAGCGGTTCCTTCCCGAAAACCCACGTCCGGGCCTGCTGAGTCCAAGCCAAAACTGCTTCAACAGCAGCGCCCAAACCCCGTGCTGCTTGCCTCGCTTCCACGGCTTCTTCTCTCTGCCCGCTAGGTCCAGTAGAGGGACTGGAAGAAGGGTACCCACTTTTCTTTGGTTTTTTGTCTATTTTAGTAGGGGAACCCTCCCCCAAAAAGGGGGAGAGAAGGGTACTACTGGGGGACCTAGGCGACTAGACCAAAAAGACCTACTGGGCGAACGGGAATCAGGCGGCCATGCCGAAATTGATCTGAAGGTGCGGACCCTGTGCAAGGGAACCGAACAGTTTGTTTACAACTCTCCAGTTGCCTGGACAAAATAAAGAAACGGGGGAACAATATTCTTAAGCAAATGGAAGCAACTGAACGGGTGGTGCCAAACATGACCTCAGGCAACCATTGAACCCAGACTCACTTCCTGAGTGGATGGCCCCAAAAGTAACCAGACTTTCTGTTTACCACTAAAATCGTCTTCCCGAAAAGTGACTAAAGTCCCAAAACTCAGGGAGTGAGTGTGGTTTCCCTGAAACCCAACCAAAACTGGGCCGTCCGTTGTCAGGTCCCCTACTAAACTTTTAGTGTGTTAAATCAGGGCTGTGGGGAATGACCACTTCTGTCACACAACAGAAAGGGCTTCCCAAAGACTATGTCTTTCATATAAAGGGGGATTCCCTTGTATCACAGAAGTGGGGATGAACCCCTTGATCCCACAACCCTGTGTTAAATGGAAACTCAACCACTAAACCAACCAAAGCAAAAAATCAGAAAAACAACATAACCCCTAGTCGCCTAGTCAGCCCCGAGTCACGAACTGCAAAGGCTCACCGTGTGGTTCTGCAAAATAGTATATGAGAAGTGAGTATCAGGAAGATGAGGGTGTTTTAAACCATATGAATATATATATATATATGTTATCTTTATCGACTGTAGCTATAGGTCTGTCTGTCTCTGTCTGTCTCTGCTTTTCTGTCTCTGTCTCTGTCTCTCTGTCTCTCTGTCTCTCTGTCTGTCTGTCTCTCTATCTGTCTGTCTCTCTGTCTGTTTGACTGTCTGCCCGTCCGTCTGTGTGTCTGTCTGTCCGTCCGTCCATCGTCCACCCATCTATCTAATGTATCAATAGCGCGATTCAAACGCAATTCCCCCTGCTCTTGCGGCCCAGCCACTTCGACATCGGACTCCAGTGTACCTGCACATGGCCAGCTGAGCCTTTTGGTTGGTTTTAGGAGAAACCACAAGAAAATCTGCAAATGTTAGGTCCCTATAATTCCGAGACTGCGTACATGGTTCTTGGCTGTCCTCAGATCCCCCGCTAAAAGCTTAACTTTTACTGGGTTAAATGGAAATCCCCACTAAACACTAAAACACGAAAAGGCTAAGGAACCGGATGGTTGGGAGCTACAAATTTAGACTCCCCCGATCTTCAATGCGAATCTCGCCCTCGATAGCCAGAGTGATTGCCAGACTTTCAAATGCCACGAAGTGTTGCGATCTCACATGTCCACGGAACCTAACCAGGGCACCCCCCAGAAAACCCATGTTCGGGGAGTAGATAATTCGCTGGATTTCCTCGTAAGTTGCAATCTACTGGTGGGTTCCACTGAAGCAGAAAATTTGGGGTACACAAACACCAGGGAAAATACGGTGCTCTGTGTGTTTTGAGGGGATAATTTGGAAGCTGCCATACACAAATGGACGAGCAAGCAAACAAGCAAACAAGCAAACAAGCAAACAAGCAAACAAGCAAACAAGCAAACAAAACACAGAGACCAAGAAACTAACAAACAACGAGCCCAGGCATGAAGAGTCACAAATCCACCCTTCCCTGCTGGCGCACCGCTCGTCCCAGGCGACCTCGTTCCGCATGTACTGCGCATCACCTCTCTTTCGGAACCCAAAATCGGCGACTAGTCCCAGAGGCACGATCCGGAGCCCCCGCGCGAACCGATCGGTCCTCCAGTAGAGAGGTTAGAATAAGTTGGTGCCCGAGTTTTTTTTTTTTTCTGTGGTCTATTTTAGTAGGGGAACCCTCCCAACCAAAAAAGGGGTGAGAAAGGGCACCTAGCTGAGGGACCTAGGAACTGTACCTACCCTCCTGTCCACATGGAACCTGACGCTTCGGAAAATTATCAAAAGGACCCGATCTGGTGAGTTCCATGGCAATGTGGACAGGAGGGAATGCTGTTTTACTAACTATACTGTTCTTACTAACGGTATGCTTTCTGTCTTTTTGGTTTTAACAGTTTTCTCTAAACCAATGGGTCACCTCCCTCCCCAATTTCGTTTTTAAGGGGTGGGGATGTCGCCAGCCCCTTTCGGAGATACCACGGCGATTGACTCACATCTCTCTGACTAGCTTGTCGCTTTAGATGGCATTCGTTTGGTATTGCAGAACATGGGGTCCTTCTTTTTTAAGGGTACCCCTTCTTCTGGTGGTTTTAAAGGAAAACCAAACCGAAAACCACCATTTCAGGGGTCCCCAAAAAAGAGACACACCCATACGGTTGCCAAACCTGTGTGGGGCCAAACCTCTGGACGTGGAATTATTCACAGATTCCGCCACCTCGGACTTTGCTGGGAATCCAAAGTGCAGGACCCGCCAGCCCCAAACCGCAGTTTCCATCACCAAGTGAGTCACAATCAAAACCCGGTATTTAAATGGTCGACCCAGAACCATGTAAAGAATTAAGAAGGCGGATATCCGCAGCTATTTATGGCAAGGGGATTGTCCCTTACTAACCTTCATCTACCCGAATCGGTTTTGATTGTGGCTCAAGTGTTGTGTTGTGTTTTCTTCTGCCGCCTTCGGGTTTCAGTGTGGCGGTGGCATACTATTCAGGACAAATAAGAAACATGTGTGTCCTACTGTGGATGGACGAAATCCTGCACCACTTAAGAAACTCTGGAATGATGATTATCCTGTAAATACCCACAAACAATGGTTTCCCATGGTTTTAAAGTGGTGCAGGATTTCGTCCATCGACAGTATGATCATGATTCTGGTTGATGCCCACAACCCCCTTCTAGTGATTTACGCTCTTATGGTACCTGCAAAGGATTCCTTCTCAAAACCATGTTCCTTTTTCCAAGAAGGCGGCCTTAAACAGGTCACGCCTGTAAACCACCCATGCCCAAAGGGCTCAAACTCGGCCACGCCTCAAAAAGCCCGGCCGCTCGCCAAGCTTCAACGCTCCGCCCAAACGCTCATGGAATCCAAGGAGCGTCCGGCCCTTTGAAACAACCCAAGCCACTGGGCGGTAGCCGGTAGCCCTGAGCCTGGCAGTTGAATTGTCTCACTGGAACCCATGTGGCGGTGTCTCAGACTAGGGGCTCTTTGAGATGGGCTTCAAGGGGAACCAAAAGGGAAACCAACCACCTGGATGGGGGCCTGAATTGCCATCTTTTTACTAGGCTGTCCTCAGATCCCCCGCTAAAAGTGACTAACTTCTAGTGGGCGAAATACGGAAAACCAACCACTAAACACTAAACAGCTTAAGAAAAAGCTAAGTTGAACCGGATGGTTGGGAGCCACGCAGAGGTACCCTCTCAACACGAACAAGATCTAAAAAGCTAAAGCTAAGGAACCGGATGGCTGGGAGCCACCAAGGTTTGAGGCGTTCAAAGGCCGAACATCGACTAACAGGGGAAATAAAACATATTCTTAAGCAAATGGAAGTTATAAAGCCGACAAGTGCATACAAGATACCCAGGGGTCGATTTTGCGGGCGCCCCCAACGGATCAGGGCCCTGGCAAATACAAATGTGCACCTCCTTCGCGACCAGGTCGGCCCTTGGTGTTCCATTCGGATGGCTTTCGGATTGGCAAACTGGTGGAGGGACTTCCAACATCTCGGCGCAAGCTTTAAACATAGATTGCCATACTGTGGATGGGCGAAATCCAGTTCGCACCGCTTTGAAACCATTTGCAGGGGTATCATTCCAGGTTTCTGAGGTGGTGCAGGATTTCGTCCATCCACAGTAGGTGTCCTTTCTGACAAAATAGACGGCCCTGGCAAACAGAATACAGCCAATCAAAATCAGTGGAACCCATCCATTTCTATCCAAACTAACGTAAAAAGGACACCTGTGCAGATTGCACTAGGAACATCGCCTGAAGGACTCAAAAGCCCTTGTGGGTCAAAGCGACTTGAATGAGTTGTCCTCTCTCTGCTAGTTGCTAGGGAAGCCGTGATGTCCCAAGAAAGCTGAAAGGTCAAGGTCAAAACCAAAAGCAAGCAACTAAATGACGAGCAACCCAACGTGTTTCTTATGAGCATGTCCCAGAATTGGGGACCCGCTGATGGATTTGTTTGAAGCAAAGGTCAGCCCACCGTTTAGAGGGTTCCCTGATTGAGTAAAATCGGAAACGGTTCACCGCTGGCTAGTCATACATGCCAAGCAAACCATGCAACTGAAAATGTGCCAAATTGTGTTCCCTGTATTGGTAAAGTGCCTTGAGATAGTGGAAGCAATAAAGCCGTGTTGTGTGCCGCTGTACCTATGGGTAGAAGTACTGTAGCAAGAGCTCTTTCCGTTTGCAGAGAGCAAACAAGGCCGTATTGACGGCTTAATGAGTGATACGAGCTCCCCCTTGGATGACACCAGGCTCCTCGAGAATCACAAAACACAAAGCCAACTGTAGCCTTTTGCTTATTTGGAGAGGACGTGGGTACTCAATATCCCCCTATCTTCTCACAAAACCTCGGGAGCCTGTCCAATTGAACCAAGCCAAAGTAGTATTTTCGTAGCTGGAAGTAGTCTATTTCCTCATCAAATGCTGTAATATCCCCTCTTGTCTCACCAAACCTAGGGCGCCTGCCCAATTGAACCAAGTGTACGTGGGTAAGTAGTCGATTTTCTCACCGAAAAGGACAAAAAAAACGGGCTGTAAGTATTTCTTCCATTTGCTTAAGCCTCCTGAAAAAAATATTTCCAGTGGTGAGAGATTCCCTTTAGGGGGTACAAAAAACCTTAAACAAATGGAAGATTTCCGTGGGTTAGCTGGCTCTGTGTCCGCCCATCCGAGGCCGCAGCGGGCCAAGCTCGAACAAATCCCCTGGAGCGGCACGCTTGTTCCGTGGGGCCTCTCGACATCAATGACAGGCCCAAGTAGAACTAGGCGCGGCCGCCTTTGTAGTTCTTTCACCATTGGCTTAGGCAATTTTAACACCCATCTGTTTGATTGTCAGGGCCTTTACTACGAGTACATTTTCCCGCAAAGGGCTCGCCCGCGGGGCCTCCTTACGTTCTGGTTTCTCTACTAAGGCCGCCATATGGCCTTAGGGAAACCACAGGGCTTGGAGCTTTAGTGAATCCTATGAACCAAGCCCTACGACTTCCAGTTGAAATTTTATGAATGGTGAGGCAAGCAATGCCCTGATCTAGTGTAAACATGTGAAACCCATTATTCTGGGTGCAAACATGCGCCAAACTTTGTTTCTCGCATGAAGATCCCCGGCTGAAACTCGTGGTGATCAGGGCTGGCCAAGGTGAGCCCCTGCGAAGGGTCGTTTGCTCACCAATTAACTAAGAGAGCTTCCGTCATTTCCCGCCATGTTTCAAGGCTTCTTCAGGGCGGTTGAGAGCCTGTAAACATGAAGCAACTTCCACAAGCTACAAGGCCAATGTCACCCACGTCACAGTTTGCGATTTATTGTAAAAAAAAAAAAAACGAAACCTGAAATTGTGACCTTGCCTCAAAAGGTTCAGAAATCTCCCAAATCCACCTTGGTCGCCTTATGCGATGATTTCAGGTACCATACCCCGAAACTGGCCGTGGAAGCTCATGCGTTCAACCCGGTTTTATCCGGAAACTTCTGTTTTTAAGGGGTGGCTTCTTTGAACCAACCCACATTCCGGGGTTCCCTAAAAGCAAACGAGCCACCCCAAATATGAATGCCTCACAAGGCGAGCCATTGCTGTAGCGCCATGACCGGCGCAAACCGCAAACCGCTTGCAGCACTAAACCCCATTTCCAACTCCTCACTTCTCTAACCCCCAAATCTAAACTCTAACCTCTAACTCTAACCTCTAACTCTAACCTCTAACTCTAAGCTCCAACTCGTCTAGCCTCTACTTCGAACCTCTAACTTCTGCAACTACGTACTCTAACCTCTCACTCTTTTAGCCTCCTCCTCCAACCTCTAACCTCCGCAACGTCTCGAACTTCTTTGTCCAGCGTGACTGGAGCTGGTTGATCATGCCACGCCCGGCCCCACCCTGGAACCGGATCCAAGCTCCATGAGTAGATATCATCTCTACTCTTGGTATGGGCTTGCAAAAAACTGACTGTTTGTTGCAGACCCCCAGTAAAAATGAACAGAACCAAAAAACTAAAAAAACTAAAAAACCAAACAACATGCCAAGAACAGCAAAAGATATGGGTGTCCTTTTTGAGTTGGAAAAAAACGACAGGAAGCTGATTGCTCAAAGTGTCACCTGTGTTTTTTGCTTTTTGTTTGTTTTCCGCAGCGAGGCCTGCCACTGCCGGTTCTTGAAGTTAAACCGCTTCCCTTCCTCCCACCAGCATAGCACCTGTAGGGTGCCTGGAAGATCCGCTTCCACTTAAAGGGTACCCCTCAAACAAGGTGCTATGTCCGGCGGGAGGGTAATTCTCCCTAGTCAATACGCCTTAAAAACAACAAAAGATCACCTCGCGAGCTCGCCCCCAACCCCTCTCCCGCCTTGCTGCAGCAGAAAGTTGGGAGATCTCAGGCCTCAAAACCGGTCACAGAACAGTGGAAGGGGAACCCCTTCTTTTAGGGCCAGCACGCCCTCAACAAAAAGCGCTTTTTGGACCGAACATATATGACTTCGGACATGGAAAAGAAGCACTTGTTGGGGGCTGCTGGGGGGTTGGTCCCTCTGAGACAAACCCATCAATCGTTTGGTTTCTTGGGGTTGCTTCTTCCACCCCATTCCAAAACAGCGGGATTTTAAATGAGATCTGTATCACCCGACCCCAGCCATTAGCCCCGTTCCTGCTCGATCGCTTTTCGGGGACCTCTAAAGCTGGCCTGTCAGGGAGCCCCTGTTTAAAAAAAAAAAGAAAAGGGCTCCCTATATTTTTCCCCTTAACACGTCACCCCCACCAAGACTCACCTTTCATGGGCCAAGAAGGTGAGGTTTAAAGCCACCAAAAGGGGGAATATAGGGACCCCTGAATAACCTGTGGGTGAAATGAAACCCCCCACTCAACTCTGCAAGTCTTTAACTTGTGGATTAAATGGAAACCCAACCAGTAACACAAACTAAAAGCCAAACAACCTAAGGGGACGGCTGGGAACCGCCAAGGGGGAAAAAAAAAAACGAAGAAACGGTGCTCTGCGATTATTTGTGCAGAACATGTTTCCAGGCCCGAAATTTGGGTTGACCTCAGTGCCAGATAAACACATGCAAAAACCATTTATCTCACCCTAGATCAATCTCGTCACCTGTCGAAGGTTCTGGAGTTCCCACAGTCCTATTTCTGGTTGCACCCCACTTGCACCCGCTTAATTTCCAGTGGAAAACTGAGTTCAAGCCCCAAGATATGAAAAGATCGAACCCCTCAATGTATTTCTCGCTTGCTCCGCCAAAGCATTCTGACACATGCGAACGGCAGGTGGGACCTCCGGGGACCGGACACGTGTGACACCAGTTGGATTCGCAGCTTCCAGTGGCTCAAAGGGCTCGGGTCAGTGACTCTGGCAGCGTGCTGGGGCCCTGGGTCTCTCTTCCGGGAGAGAAACCAACAAGCCCAGGTGGTATTGACAATCAAAACCGATCGGTACAAAAATGGTGGAGCCCCAGAACCATGCTTCAAGAAATGGAAAGGCGGATCTCCGCAACTATTTCCGGCTGGGGCTGCCCCTTACTAACCGGTGGTGTTGACTAATCCCCGAAACCCAAACCCGGAACAAGCGGCACAACCCTTGGCCGCTCCGAACCTTGCAACCCGATGAGCAACGACCACATTTCAGCTATTCAGCTGGGGGAAACAAACCAAGGGTTGGCTTCGTTCTCAAACCAACACGCTAAGTACGAAAGAAAGAGGAAACACAAGGTGGACGATTCGACTCAAGGGGGACGTCAGGGAAAATGAAGGATCACCAAAAAAGGCAAACAAACAGAAAATAAGACGAAACACAAACAAGCTCCTCCATCTCCTCCCCACCAAAAAGAGGCAAACAAACAGACATAAGACGAAACACAACACAACAACCTCCCGAAACTCCGGAGAACCCATCAGCTCCTCCATCTCCTCCCCAAATTCCCGAGAACCCGTTTCCGAACAAACGAACCAGCCCACATCTCTGGGCCCCCAAACGCATGGGGAAGCCGCCCAATGTGGAGGGCAAGGTCACCCCGAAGCCCAGATGACACCTCGATCGACGCTCCGCTCGCCGCCCGGACCCACCGGACCCGTTCCGAAAAGGGGACGGAAAGAGTAACTCAAACTCAGTTGTTCAGTGCCCCTGGAAAAAAGGGAAACAATTATATTTTGGGCTTGGACCAAATTTTAGTGGGGCAGCCACCCCAAAAAAGGGAAAAAGAATTGGGGCCACTGAACAACTGAGCAAAGGGTCCAAGTACCTTCTAAGGAGGTACTTAGACCCCTTTTTACCCTCCAAGAGCCATCTGGGACGGAAGTTGTTTGCTTAAAGGGGCGATCGGGTACTTAGGAAGTGGTTAGTAACCATGGTTATAACCCACCGAACGGAGACTTATACCCATGGCTTCAGTGGGTTATAACCATGGTTACTAACCACTTACTAAGTACCCTGCCCCTTTAAGTAAGCAACTGTTCTTCATTCGGGGCTCCTTACAAAAGGGGTGTTACCCTTTCTTCTATTGGTGAACACTACTTCTTGCTAACCCCAAAGGGAAACCAAGATGAGTAGTAGCCTATTTGGGTATGCGGTTTTCGTCTCCCTTTTGAGCCAAGCGCCATTAAAACAAATGTTGCTAGCCAGTGAGCTAACTCCCAGCCCTAAAGTAGGTGTCCTTTAGCAAAATTCGTTGAGGGTCGCTCATAAAAAACAATAAAAAATGACCCTTCTCGACCAGAAGGGTGCCCAGAATGTCTCTTTTCAGGAGGTCACAACGAAACAACCCTTGAATGGGTTTCATCCAACCAGCACCAAAAGGAAAATCGCACCAAACAAAACTTCGCCCTTCCAAAATGCTGGGTCCCCTGGAAACCACAAAGTCTAGATGCTCCCGCAGGGTTTTTGGCTGAGGTTTGGCTCTGGACCATGCTGCATTCCGAGGACTGGCCCTGAATGGTGACGTTGAAAGTCCACCTTTTAAGGGCCAATCTATTTCTGGAACCCTACACCTCAAGCCAACATCCCGAAAGCGCTGGCAAATAAAAATCGAACCCAACTGCCAGGCTGAACTGACCCAAAACTCACCTGCTCAGATGGCTGGCCAGAAAAGTTCAAACTGTTTAGCCCTAAACTAAAATGAAGAACGTAGCTACAAGAAGTTTAAACAAAGCAGTTTCGTTTCCCACATGTCCATTTGGGCTGGAAACTACATGACGCCGCGCTTGCAAACCTTCCCTTTGAGTGGCTCCCGAAATATCTTCAACCTTGGGAATCCCTGGGCTAGAAACCGCGTTTCAGCCCGCTGCTTGCAACAAAAACGAAACAACATATTGCAAACGGGGGCAAAGGTTTGTTTAAAACATGGGGGTTGATCAAAAAGTCCGATGAACATGGGATTGCCATTGGCGAAAACCACTAACATGACATTTCGCACTACATGGGGGGATAAAGAAGAAAAAAACTAAGACAGCATTTCGCACTACATTCAATGGTCATTTGGGGGCCCTACTTGGAATATTGATCAACCCCCACATTTTGAACAACCTCCGTTCCGGAGGTAAGCCCCTATGGCTTTCACCAAGCGGTCCAGTAGCTTGAGATTCCCGACCGCCACGCAACCCTCGGACTTCTGAGAAGAAAAAGCACGTTGCTGCGGTCCTTTTTTCAGGGGACCCCCCAAACTGGCGTTGTTGGCTTTCCTTCTGGCTTTCTTTATACAAAAAGGCATGGCGGGTGTTGTCCTTTTGGCTTTCCTTTAAACAAAAAGGCTATCCTCAAACGAAACACACACACACACACAGGAGTCCCCCTCCCAAACAAATATGTATATATATATATTAAAAACATGGTTGCTGTTGGGCAAACGGTCGATCACCTTGGGTATTCGGAAAACCCATACATCTGCATGCTTCAAAGCAACGATCGGTCCTTTTAGTCAAAACTCTTTACATGGGTTCCCTGAAGAGGACTCATTCTGATGGATAAGGATCCCTACCACCAGGTGGATGACCATCCTCAGACGCCGAGTGGCCATGGGACCAACGGGCATCTTTTTTTGGTTGGTGGAGTTTAAAGGAATCGGAACTCTTGCCAGAAAAGAGTTGAGCAAAAAGTCAGCTGGGATCCCTGTCAATTTCAAAAGGAGTCTTGTGACCATGGCACATATCTTGGTTGCCGTTGATCACTCTCCAAAAAGTGTTCAACTTGTGGGCTAAATTTGGAAAACCCAAATGATGTCTTTTCCAAAAAGTTAAAGTCTAAAGATCCGTTCGCCAATAGCAATCATTGCAATGGCTAACGATCCTTACTAGGTGGATGGCAACCCCTCAAATGCCCAGTGGATTCCCATGGGGGAAAAAAGCAAGGGCATCCTTTTTGGGTTGGTTCCGCCAACATCCCGGCCGAAGCCAAAAATCAGGCCGTCCCGCTAAAGGGAAGGGCAAAGCATGAATTACGTCCATTTGGCAGGAGCATGTGGTCAGCATGCGTTAGCGAAAACAGGCAAGTTGAGTTGACAGGGGAACCCGCTCTCCCAAAAACAAGTTGAACACCATGGCGAAAGGTGACGCTTCGACCGAAAGCCGCGAAGCGACAGGCGACGCTCTGACCGGCCTCGGGTCCTCCAGCAAGTAGGAGCTGAAACCTCCAGGAGCCTCAAGGCTTCCCCAAACAAAGCGCCCCCCAATTCCCACATATGTTACAAAGAAAAACATCCCCAAGGCTTCCCCCAGAAGAAAAACGGAGAAAAAAAGAAGAAACAAAAACAAGAAAACAAAAAAAAAAGAAAAGAAAAAAAACCGAGATGTTGCAAAGAAAACCCATGGCTCTAACTTGGGCAGCTGAGGATTCAGATCCATCATCAGAACTTGCGGGTACTGGGCGCGTGGACTTGAGAGAAACCTCCCGCACGGTCGGAAACACTTGCGCGCAGTCCATGCAGCTGGGCTGTCCAAACAGCTCAACCCCTAAAAAAAAAAACGGGTGTGTCTGAAATAGGGGGAACCAAACCTCGGTTGCCTTCTGCAAACCCCTGCTAAAGGTTTAATTTAGCTTTTAGTGGTTTAATACGGAAAACCCCAATAGTTGGCAAAAAATTAAAGTCCTAACATCCAAGCAAGATGCACCAAAGGTTTAAGCTGTGGGTTAAATACGGAAACCCAACCCCTAAAAAAAAAGTGTGTCTGAAATAGGGGGAACCAAAACTCGGTTGCCTTCTGCAAACCCCTGCTAAAGGTTTAATTTAGCTTTTAGTGGTTTAATACGGAACACCCCAATAGTTGGCAAAAAGTTAAAGTCCTAACATCCAAGCAAGATGCACCAAAGGTTTAAGCTGTGGGTTAAATACGGAACCCAACCACTAAACCAACGAAAACAAAAAAAACTCAGGGGACGGCGAACCACCAAGTCAGGTGTCTGGGAATTCCATGTGCAGACGAGCCTGAATCCAGGTCCTGCTAGACGCGTTTCTGCTCCAAAACCCTGGATCTTTTGACAAGCACCTCCATGGGAGTTCCCTCATGTCCACAGCCATGGTAATTTCAATCAGCGTGGGCCCGTGAGCCCAAGCTCACAATTTTCCCACAGAAACTGTTGCTTTATTGATGCTTGTTCGAAGGCAAACGGGCCTTGATCTCCTCCGAAACCAAAAGTTGCAACTCTCTCGGGCTCCGGAAAAGAAAAGAAGCAAACAAACGAGGGCGACGTGCAACACTTGACCCAGGCTTTGGCTTGTTGAAAGGAAACCAACAGGCGCGGATGGTCATTCCAATTCTCATTCCCTGCCTCTCTCGCACCAGGCCAGGACAGGAGCCAGATGCGGACAAGCCTGGTGGTTTCCCTTAAGGCCTTAAGGGGACCTCTGGGTTCCTTCCCTCATTCCCCTCATTCCCTCATTCCCTCATTCCCTGCTGACCAGCAAGAAAAACAAGCCGGACCTCGCGGGTGTCCCTCGCTTCGCGCGCGGAACGACTTCGAACGTCTCGTTTGGGCGTCCGGCGCAGCCGAGGTCCAGAAACTTGAAGCCGGTCGCCGGCACCAAGTCCCTGCGACGTTTTCTTTCGCACCCGGAGGTCCCAGAGGATAGCTTTGGCGGGTCCGCCCCGTTTTGTTTACCCCTCAAAAGCCATAGGAGGTATGAAGGGGACCTCTGGCATAGTTTGGGTTTTGTGCTGCTGCTTGTATTTCTTGGCCTTTTTGTTGCTTTGCTTTTGTTTGTGTTGCTTTGCATATTTGTGAAAAAGAGTAAGGAAAGACGGGGGGGTATTGCTTTTTCTGTCAGAAATACGGCTCTCCGCACCAGAAGTTGCGGAGAGCCTGTGCGAAAATACGAGGATTTCCCAAGGAAAGTGCTTGCTTTTCTGTGCTTTCGCGAAATATGGGCTCGGAGAGGGTTCCTTAATTTATCTGAACAATGGGTGTCAAAAAGCAAACCCGAATGCCCGTTGCGGCGGAACGCGCGACCAAACAGGTATTGGTTCTCCCTTTTGGATCCAAAGACCAGCCCTGGGTAAAACGAATGGCTGGGTCAAGACTAGCGGGGGCCGCCTTTCTACTCACTTCCCAAGTTGACTGGCCAAAAAAAGATTGAACTTTTTATTTGCAACTAAAATGGTCTTTCCAAAAAGTGTAAAGTCCACCAACTCAGGAAGTGAGTCTAAGTAAAGGTGGGAAGTCATGCTTCGAAACGACCTGCCTTTCAAAGGGCGGCTAAAAAGGAGGGTGTTCTTCAAAAGGGAGCCAACACGGGGACCCGGGTGTCGTTTTGCCGTTCTTTCACTCAGTTCTTCGGTGACCCTGGAAAAAAAAAGAATTGGAACCCTTTCTTGGGCTTGGACCGAATTTTTAGTGGGGCAGCCACCCAAAAAGAAGGGAAAAAGAATTGGGGCCACTGAACAACTGCGCATCCAGTTTTGACAGGCCCCGTTCCCCGGAAGCTCTGCGCTTCCGTCCGCATGCCAGCCGCCCGGTTTTGGCGCCTCAAGTAGTTGTGAGCCTCAAACAGCTCGCCCATGACGCCGTAGCATTTCTGGAAGTGCACCTGGCAACAAATAAACCGCCAGAAAGCTCGCCTTTTTGGAGGAAACCCTTTTGGGATTGGTTCCGAAGGGAAAACCCACCATTTTGGGGTCCCTATTTTGCACCACCGCCTGGTTCTGTCTGAAAACTCGGCTTTTTTAAAGGGGAAAGCCAAACATCCATTTTTCGGAGCCCACTTTGAGAAACACCCGACACGCAACAATGATTTCCTGTACCAAAAAAGGTATACTCCCATCCTGAAGGGGACTAGGGCTCCAGTTCCCTAAATGTCTGAACCTTAATCACCCCACTTGAAGGAAACTCACTGGAAAAGACCTCCCCCCAAACCCCAAACCACCCCACCAGAAGCAAGCTCGCTTTAAGCCAGCCCAAACAGCATCACCAGGAAGAAATCACCTGAAGGGGTCCTGAAGATGCACTTGGTCGCGGCACGGAGCGCAGTGCTTTGGACATCCTTCAGCACCAGCAGGGCAAAAGGGCAAAAAGGTGAACCTCCCACTGAAAAATTCGCCCTGGCCATCCGCGTACAAAAACCACGTGCCTGTAAAACAACGTGCCATTTGGTCGGCGGCGTGCCACGCAAAACCCACGCCTATGGAACCCGGCACCACATGCCTTGGCACCCCACAGGGTTTTTTTGGTTGACGTTGGGTTTGGGGAGCAAACATTCTCAAACTTTAGGCAAGTGGATTTGGATTGCAACCACTCAGCCACAAGAAGGCCAAAAATGGGAAACATGGTTCCCAACAACAACCAAGCCAACACGTCCAGTAGATGGTGCAACCCTTGGATGGTACGAAGGCGAAAGGAAACCTTTTCCTGGAGTGCCTAGCTTTGAGAAACATGGGTTTGTTAGGGAGTGCAACCATGGGTCCCTTAGGGAAGAAATTTTCCTTCCGGCGCATTCCTTGAGGCGAAGTCGGAACCTACATGACCCTTTGCGAGTCCTCGGAACCCGCTCGAAGGGCCATCAAGCGAAAGGTTGATCAACCGGTCCTTTGATTTCATGGGATGACCAGTGGTGGCAAAAACCGGCCAAAAAGAGATTTGAGCGTTCAAAAAACCACCAAAATGATATTTGATCTTTCAGCCACATGGGAAAAGCTACCCACGGTCAAAACTGGGGGCCCTAAATGGAAACACTGATCAACCCCCAAGTAGACTCCGTGATTCGCCTCAGTCTCCTGATGTGCTGTCAGCTGTCGGTGCTGCTGCTTGGTGCTCTGGGCCTAAGAACGTGTATAGTCACGGAATGCGGAAGGTGGGGATGGTCCCGTGCGGGCTTTCCGAGTTCAAAAGAGGGTTGTGGAACTTCCATTTGCTTAAGCCCCCGGGAAAAAAATAACAATATTTCCAGTAGTGATAGATTCCCTTTAAAACCAAGAAGGGAAAAACAAATAACATCTCAAGCAAATGGAAGGGAAGACTACCTACCAACCAACCCCAACGCCACCCCTTTTATTGAAATAGGGGGTCATTTAAGCTGCCTTGAAAACCCGTAAGAAGCCTTTCAAAAGACCGGCGGAAATTGTGGTGGCCCTTCTTTGAAAGCTGCTTGGCGCTCATGGGTCCCAGAATCGATTCTGGACTCGCTTCTGTTACGGAGGGTACGCGCAAATGATGCGTGCACATATGGCTGGAAATGGGACCCACTCCTCAAAAACGGCCTCATTCCCGCTGTCAATGTGTTTGGAGAAGCCATTTTCGGGGTGAGCGCGGGTTCTCCCACACCCCTGCTTGAAGACCCGGAAAGGAAGGGTAATCAGTCAATCAATCAAAACAAATCAATAAATCACTGGTCACTGAAGAATGCACCAAACTGAAATCACTGGAACTCGTGTCCAACTGACCTCATATGGCTCTTGTCAGCGGAAACATGCCATCATTTCAGAGCAACCGAGGTTTATGCAGGGGGCAAGCCAACCCTAAACCACCCGGGGCAAATCTGAACATTGTACTTGCTTGCAGCCAAGACACAACGCCTTACATTTTCGGTTCAAGGGACAACAAAAAGCAAAGAAGAAGAAAAAAGTGCTTAAGATCATTTGTTTTTCTCTGGGCTTTATATTTCCTGGTGTCTTGAACAAATGGCCTGGTGGGTTTTCTTTGTGGGTAAAACAATCAACCAACTCCTGGTCCCGAAGGGAAACCAGAGGAGGTTGTGGCGTAGCAAGAACTCCCGACTCTCTATTCCACCATTTCCACCCCGGGCCAATCATGTCTTCCCCGTGGAAATGACAAAAACCCTCCATAAAACTAACCTGGGTTTGCGCCAAAAAAAGGCCCAACTCACCAAGCGGAAGGTCTCGTCTTTCTACAGGCCTCACTTCCCAAGTTGACTGGCCAAAAAAAAAGTTTAAGAACTTTCTATCTGCCACTAAAATGGTCCAAACCCAAAAAGTTTAAAGTCCACCTCAGGAAGTGAGGGGTCTGAAGGCACCCACCCATGGAATCGCTGGAGCGCTTTAACCCCTGGAAAGGGATCCGATCCCCGGGTTTACCCGGGGGACCCGGATCGCTTGGGCTCAAGAATTTCTTCCCGGCGAGGTCCGGGAGGTGGCCAGAAGAAACATTTGAGAAGAAACATACTGCGGATGGACGAAATCCATTTCGCACCAAGTTAAAACCACGGGGAAACCATAACGTTTGCTGGTATTTACAAGGGAGTCATCATCCCATAGTTTCTTAGGTGGTGCGAATTGGATTTCGTCCATCCACAGTATCAGGGGACAAAAACACACAACTCATTCCAATCCAATGTCCGGGTGCGCGTTGAGCCCAAATGGGTTTTGGGGAGCTTAGCTGAGAGGCCAACCGGAGTCACATGGCTGTGGGTCAAAGCCATAGGATCCTAAATCCCAATCATCAAATCGAAATATAACGGGTCTATACGATGGAAACCCACAAATCAGGGCCAACTTCCTACCATGGTGGCTAATGCTGTAGCCTTTAATAGGGAGCCACCTCAACAGCAGTTAGTGGACGTGAATGCAGGGGTCCCCCAAGACAACTGACGCCCAAATCGCCAAGCAAACGGGCCACCCATCAGATCATCAGGCCACCGCACGGCATACTCGTCGTGGAGAGGCTGCTCCATGAGCAAATGCAGTTCAGCGGGCAATGCGTGAGTGCGGACGAGTTAGTTACGGGTTTCGTCCCTGGCTTTGGCTGGGAAGCCGAAAGCCGTGAAAGTGGCAGTTGTTCACTTGCCTCTAGTTGAGTATCCCCAAAGTTGCACAGTTTGCCTCTCTATCTTTTTTCTTTGAGTATCCCCACTCAAGTTGAAAAGTTGTGTTTGGCTCGGACAGCAGGCAGGTTGCAGGAGAAAAACCTGCAAGTCATAACAAGCATTGCTCTGCGGGAGTTCTTTTCAAACCGGAACTGGAGGAGGTTGTAAGGGAACACTTTCAGGCAACAGAGACCCAACATTTCGGGGAATCGGAATGGCCCAATTGCACAAATGATGCACACACGGGCCAATGAAACCATGACAAACGGTTTCCAAAAGGACACATCATGGTCGCATGCAAGGTATCAGAAACCTGTCCAAGAGAGAACTCCCGTAAAAAGGGTCCCCTGGCATGCAAGCACTTTCAGGCTTAATCCCGAAAAGTTTTGCAAGAAAAACGAGTTTGCTTCAAGCACCAAAACCTTTTGGAGAACAACCCTCTTCCCCCTTGCGAGTTGGGTATCAGTCAAAATAATACCTAGAACCACCAGGGGACCTTTTAGTCTTTGGTTCCATTTACCAGGGTTCCATTTTGGGTACCTATCTTTGACCCACACCCAGTTGAGATCTTCTTGCGGGGGCCCCAAGAAGGGTCTCCGCCTTCGGCAGCGCGCTGCCAAGCTTCAATTTGCTTGGGCAAAGCTGCGGGCACAGTCAGCTGGAGCTCCCAAACTGACTTGTGGCTTCCATAGTGGACAAAAGTTGCAACATATGGCTGTGGTTGTCAAAACCAATGAGATACCATTTTGGGGTAGGTGCACCACCCATTTTAGTCCATTTTGGAGGAGATTGGGATGTTTAACACGGGGGTACGGGATTTTGACCCATGGCCATATGGGCATGTGTTTAAAGTGGACCCCTCAAATGGTGGCTTTCCAGCTGGTTTCCCTTTGAAAACCACACAAAAGGGAGAAAAACAACACACCCATACAGGAAATACAATTGGCCACATAGCTAATTGTTTCCTCCTGGAATTATGCCTAAGTTCGGCAACGCGCCTGAGGGCGACGGCCGCATTCATATGATGCACGCCGGTACAGTCCACATCAATGGGCCCAAACCATGACGCACGAAGAACGTTCGCACGCTTTACGTCTGCCTAATGGTGGAATCAACCTTGCCATACCTAATTTCATCCAGCTCCGGATCGATCCGGGCGACAATGCCATCATAGCAAGAGAAGCTTTGTTGGCTTTGCTTGCAAACGAATGGAGAAGAAGAAAAAAAGTGGTCCCTCGTTTCCCCTTTCTACGATTCATATAAACCCTTTCCGTGACACCAACGCGCCTTGCTTCTACCAATCTGATCATTTTGGAGACTCTTGCACGTTGCACGTCGTGTCGTTTACGATATTTACTACGTCAAAGTCCAAAAATCAAGTTGACAAAGTTGACCAGCGACAAGCATGGCAAAGATCATCCTAACTCACAAACCTCTTTCGCTCGTCCGCGCCACGACGCACGGCGAAACAGCGGACTAGAACTCCTGAACAGGCAAGAGACTGAGGACCACAGTTGGGGCCACCGGAAAATTTACATGAAAGCCGCACCTAGCTCCTGCAAGAGAGATTGCTCTCCCCGTACACCTATCTCAACGGCAGCCACGTTTCAAGCCTCCGCCACCTCCTTCCGGCGCTGTTACCACCTTCATGGCCACACGAAGCCACCCGCAAGCCACGCTGAACGACCCCACCAACCCAGTGCGAACTTGCCACGGCACGTCGCGATCCGCAACTCAGTAGAGCATCCATTTGCGGGCGTCGGCGTGGAGGCCTTGAAAGGTAAGAACTGTATGAACACCCTGCAAGGCCGAGTTGGTCTGTGCAAGGAAACAGTTCTGCGAGCGCGAAACGGTCTTTGCGACTCATCCGCTTGGGCTTCACCTTCCCCCGTGGGGCAGGCGCGTGCAAAGGTCCGCGCCCGAGCACGAGCCCACCCTGATCGCCTTGTGTGAATGCGTCACTCAGATGCCCAGTGGATTTCCATGCGACAAAAAGGCATCCGATTTTTTGGTCGGTTGACTTAAAAGGGGAACCCTTCCCAACAAAAGTTGAAAAAAGGGGGCACCACCAGGCAACTGGGCAAATGTCACCCTCCACCACTCTTCCCAAAGAACTGAAAGCCATGTCCCGTCACCCCCTCTCCAGCACTCCGCACCGTGCTATGCAAGTGAGGCTTAGACAAGCAACCCCTGGGTTGCCCTTGAGATGGCTGTTGCCCAAACCTTTGAACCCCCCCTGGTTCCAAATAATTATCCCCCCCACCTGAAGTGGGAGGGGTGGGGTGCACCCCTCCCCCCAATGGATTCCGATTTTTCAGGGACGCATCAGTGGCCGCGTCAGTGGCCGCTTCACGTGGACCCAGCCCCACCGCCCCTTCCCGAATGTGTTTTTCTCTGCGCGCTCGCCCATGCGGTTCGCTATCTCCGCGCCTCCGCAGGCTCACACGGATAACACGCCTGAGGACTCTCGCGTAACGTTGCCCCCATATTAATCAGCCCAGTTGATGAATAGGGGGGTGAGGGCCCCTCGAAAAGTGGTCTGATTCCCCACTAAACCCAGGGAGACTGCCCTATGAATAAACAGGGGTTGATTAATAGGGGGTCAACATTATCCCGTCTTGGGCGCAATCAACCCGACATCCGGTATTGTTCTCCATTTGGGGGGCCACTTTTTGGTTGGAACAGTTTGGACTATGTTGGGTTGATCATTTCCTATGGTTGCCAAATCAAAAATACATGGTGGCGGCATTTACGGGCCCGCTTCTATACCATTCAACCACATTGAGCCACTGCCTTTCTGCGGGAATTCAACACTGGTGCTTCCGAAACGTTTTGCCTTCAAATGACTTCCATTTGGTGTTAAGACCCCTGGAAAAAATGGGAAACAAAAACAAGTAGTGATGGATTCCCTTTGAAACCAACAGGGGAAAATCAAAGGAAAATATTGAGCAAATGGAAGATGAGATGGCTGGTCCATCAAGTTCAGCGCCTAAGGCAGCTATCACTGATTCAGTCCGCTGCGTAGGCACTCTTGACTTCGTCCATCCGGGCCCGCAACCAAGCAGCCTCCGTGTTTTTTTGTTTTTTTCCAGGCGCTTCGTGCCAGCGTCCAAGCGAGCGGTCTGGCTCCGACATGCTGATGCCAACCAGCTGGGCAAGTTTTATCTGCTCGGTCTCCAGCTCGGCTGTGACTGGCCTCATTATTTTACCATGGTCAAAGTCACCCCCTAAGTGGTGGGTTAAAGGCAAACAAACCCCATGTCTGACTTTGACAACCCCCAGAAACCATCAAAATAATGCTCCCTTTGTGATCCAGGAGGAACACGAAATCGACAGAGAAAGTGGGCCTACCTTTTGGAAGACCAGATGTGCCATGTTCCAAACACTTTACTGCTGACCCCTGACTAAATACGCCCGTCCTACTATTAGGGGGTGTCCCTCCCATAGTGATGAAATCCCTACACAGGAACACCCGCTATTTATCAACCGGAGCTTATGGGAGTTCCCATTTTATGGCCTATGGTCATAGTTCCCTCGAAAGGAATCATACGAATGGCTATTAAGGATCCTTAATACCAGCTGCATGACCATCCCTGTTAACCCAAAAAGGGGTCTTTTGACCATGACACATATGGCCATGGGTCAAAATCCCGTACCCCCAGTCAACATCCCAATCCAACCAATGACATAGACTAAAATGGGTGGTGCACCTACCCCAAAATGATACCATGAATGTTAACCATGACACATATGATTCCAAAAAAGGGATGTAAACCGTAAACCACGTAAGCCCAATCAGGAACACCACCCACCCACAAACCCCGAAATCAAACCCATGTTTGATGCATAGTCACCAGGGCAAAGAAAATGAGAGACGAAAAAGCCAAGCCGATCACGTGCGAGTTCTGAATGGCAATGATGGGAAAACTTGGGTGGAATTAGGACCCCTGCATTTTGGCCTGCAGAAAACAAAGGGAATGCAAAAAGGCTGCAAAAAATGGAAAAGGGGAGCTAATTCTGTGCAGAACATAGGAATGGCCCTAACCATTCCGCCTGCAAATTGAATCTTCTGGCCATTGCCTCTCTTGAAGACATACCCCTGATGTAGCCGGTTTTTTCTGGTGTGTCTACTGCGAGTCGTCCGGCCCGAAGCTTCTACCAATGTGTTCTTACCAGTTCCTCCTTCCATTTGGTTAAGCCCCTTGGAGAACAAAAAAATATGTCCAGTAGTGATAAGTTCCTTTCAAAGCCAACAGAGGAGAAGAGCAAACATTCTTAAGCAAATGGAAGCTCCTTGTGCGTTTCACCTTTTTGGGGGCGCCAGTCTTATGGAACATCAGCCTGTCAACTAAGAAACAGCTGGGGAAGCTCGAATCCCCGGCTCGCAAGTGTCAGGTTCCGGGTCCAAATCGGATATACCGCTGATGGAAATCATGCCAAAGGAAATGCAGAGACGACGTTTGAGAGATCCAAACATGCGGCCGAGATCTCTTAGGGGCTTCAATCTTCGAGTTCCGGCCCCCAGTCTTGACAACATGGGAAACGTTTTTCCACTTTTCCCAGTGGTTGAACATATCATCTCAGCGGGTTCTCCAACCAATCATCCCATGAGGTTTGCGCCCCGCTGAAATGGGCCGCACGCCACACCAGGCTAACCCCACACGCGACCGATCAGCCCAAAGGAGAGCTGGTCCGACGGTCGATTGCGGGGGGGAAAAAAAACGAATTCCAGAAACATCCCCTCCCTCCGCCGTCGTTATGTTCCTCAGAAGGGACAAACATGCTGAAATCGCGCTTTAGCGAAATTGGGACCCGGACCCCCGGCTTAGGAGACATGTGTCAAACTGGGACCCAGACCCCTTCAAAGATATATCTGTTTGGCGGGAAAGAGGCAAGCTAGAAAGTTCAGCCAAGTCTGGCATGAAACGGGGGCTAAGACGATAGGTGTCCTTTTTGGAAAATAGATGGCCCCCGGTAGATGATGGAACCACCAGGTAAACCAGGAATCGCCCTCTATTTTTCAAGCAAACCAACCAAGAAGGACAAACTCATGGCTAAGACGACCCCCCCCCCAAAAAAAAAACAAGCAACGCGCCCCTTCGTTCCCTAAATTCCGAGGGCCTACGCGCCACCTCGAGCACCCAGAAGGAACCTTGGACGGAACAGAATTGCGACCCGATCGGCGATCCTGATATTTGGCGCCAAGGTTACGGAAAACATTGCCTTGCTAGGGTTCAACCCTCTTTAATGGCTTAACCCAACTCAAATGAAACTTGTTGGGTACATGGTGCCTTACAAGAAACACCTGGGCCCACTTCCCCCTTTTTGGTCAGGAACCTCAGTTCTTTAAAAAGCTTTGGTGCTACCCGCACCTGGCAATTTCCCAACTTGGCCTGCTTTGTCAACCATGTCCAAAATCACAAGTGTGGTAGCAAAACAGCAGGCAAGTTGGAGGGTACTGCTAGGTTTCACCCCCAATGGTTGAACCCAACTCAGATGAAACTTGGGAAATGGCGGTCATGTACTAGCCAGGAACACCAGAGCCAAGCGACAAAGGGCAACCTCTGCTGGCAAGGGGAAACAAATGAGTCCCCAAAACAATCAAAACCTGGTTTTAACTTGACCAGGGGAGACACGAAAGGTAGGATACCGTAAAGTGGTCCCCCTAATGTGTCGTAAAGTGAGGCACAAGAGAAAAGCGGACCGAAGTGTGAAGCGAAGCAAGCGTTAAAGAGCGGCGAGCAGACAGGAAAAAGCAGCGAAGCTGCCAAGCACACAGGGGAGGGCGAGGGCGGACCAGGGGGCGTCGCAGGGGAGTGGGGGCGTTCTTTGGTTTTGCTGCCGGACCGACCCCCCAGACCCCCTCAATCTAGCCTTGCTAACGCAAGGACAAAGCCAAATAGGAACAGATGGGACACGGGTATGTATCACAAAAGAAGATGCGGGGGGGGGGGGTCCTTTTGGTTCTCTCCTTGTGAAACCAACCCAAGGGCTCTCACACACACACACACCCATGGGAATACCTCACAGTCTCCCATGCCCCGAACCCCAAGATCATGGGCACTGGATTTGACGGGATATTTGGGCCGAACCTCATACTATATTTGTCATGTTTAATTGAATATGTTGTTGTCAAACCCAATTGTATTTCACAAGCTAAAGAAAAATCGGCCCTTTCAAAAAGGGTGAGGGACTTAAGTAAGTCTTAGCGTTGGGAGCCAAGCCGGTCTTTGGGGGCTGGTTTGTCTTGCTCTGCAGCGTTATGGAAAAATACGACATCAGCCATCACCCCAACAACTGCTTTTTGGGAAAGTACTTGTGATTTTGGACGTGGACAACATCAACCATCACCCCCACAACCCCCACAACCCCCCCCACGCTCCCCCCCCCCCCCCCAACAACTGCTTTTTGGACATGGAAAGCAGCAGTTGTTGGGAATCCGGGTGCTGGACCTGGTAACCAACGAGCCACGACTTCCCGCGGTCGCCTTTTCATCTCTCCGGCAATGCGTTTCTTCGATCGTCCCATCGGCCCCTCAGCAGTCAGTCAGATCTTCACTCCTCCGCCTCCTCCTCGCCCTCAGCCTCCTTCTTCTCTGCCGCCTGAACTAAGCTGGAAAAAAGGGACCCCAGCATTTTTGTTTTTTGCTCGGGTAGCCGACTCTGGGCTTGCTGAGTCTCTCAACCAAACAACACATGAGTCATCAAACTATTTGTTGGGATTATCCGTTACTAACTTTCATCTACCCCGGGTTTTGATTGTGGCTCACACATGGGTGGAAAAAAATATTCTCAATGGGCGTCCGCAACGCCCGCTCCAACCTTCCGGTGCCGGGAGAACGGTTTGTTTCCCTCAGTCGCAAGGACCTGGAAAGACAAGGTGAGGTTGCTGGGGTCATGACCAAACTTCGGCACCAAAACTAAAAAGCCGAACAGGTGCCAAGGTCGGCTTGCCAGTGAGTTCCTTCGGCTTCCCAAATAGCAAAAAAAATCGAGGAGCTTCCAAATCCTGCCTCAGCGATTGGGCCGAAAACTCTGTTTGGTCCGGGGGTTCTTGAGGTCAGCCTCCCCTTCGAGCCCCCCAAAGGGAACCAGGGTCAAAATCTAGCGGCGCTGTACAGGACACTGAGCATTCTAGGGGTACCTTCCATTTCCATTCTTTCCAGTCCGAATCTTTTCAGGAAACCATCCAAAAAACCCAGGGGAAACAGCGATCGGTGTTTGAAAAGAACGATGGTTGAAAAGAATGGGGAATCAACCCCCAGAAACATTCCGTTCCTTCCCGAATTCTTCTGGGAAATTTGGTAAGTGCCCCAATGCTGGCCAACCGATATGGATGTGGGCAACCAAAAGAACAAGTGCCCCAATGCCCCGCCCAAATGGACCATTGCATATGTTGATCGAACCTGTCTCCAAATAGAGCACTGGCTCACATTGATCCCACCATATCTCATAACATATATTACATATAAATATATTATACATACATTTAGGTGGGTATTCATGTCCATCAACCACTTTTGAGGTGGTTCCCTTATTAAAAATCATGGCAATTCCTGTTGGTAGGTGATTTATCCCAATAGTCACAAGATTTCATGTAGCCCGGCTTGGGTAACCCCAACCAGCCAACCCACCCAAATCGCCCCAAATCGCCCTGAATCGGCAAGTTCCGCAAACCAAACATACATTTTGTCTACCCTACATAATCGTTTTTGGCTTGGAGACCTCAGATATTTGGGTGTGTCTTTTTGTTAGACCCCGCAACGCGGCGCAACAGTTTTCCTCAATAGGAAACCACCAAAAAGGGGCACACCGGATCAAAAAAGACGAGCCACCCACCACCCCCCCCTCCCAACTGGCAACTGTTTCAGTTCAACCAACATCACAAGTACGGGAAACTTCAAAGCGCAGTTCTTGGGGCGGAGCTGGCAGATATGGCTATGGGTCAAAACCCCGTACGCCGAGTGAACATCCCAATCCCCACTAAAATAGGTCCTAAAATGGGTGGTGAATTCACCTACCCAAAATGATATCATTGGTGTTGGACCCGCGGTATGTCCGTTTCGGGACAACGACGGCTGCCAGCTCGCCGAAGCCCGGCGCCCGGCGCGCGCGCCCGGCGCCAGCGCGCCTTCTTGGCCGCATCCGCCGCTGCCTTGGCCTCGAAGGCCTTCATCAGGGTCTTGTAGAAGCTGCCCTCGCCTCGCAAAAATTGGGGCCGGCGCGGCGTTTTTGGAGTTGGCGCCCCTTTTTTGGGGTTGGGGGTTTGAAAGGGACACCAAAAGGAAAACCCCCAGTCGTTCGTGGTGTTTTACAGAGAAACCAAAAGGAGAAAAATCGTTGCGCCTTTTTTTGGGGGATCCAAATCCTCAAGAAAGAAAACCTGAGAGGGCTTTGGACCAAAACCACAGCCCCCAAAAAAATGGGTCGCATCTGAAGGTCTTCCGTTTGGCGAGGAAACGAAACAAAACTTGCTGGTGCGGTAGCTAGGGAATGACCCAGTCCGGGGAGGGATGGTTTGTGAAAGTCATTCCAATTCTCCTTCCCTGCTGAGAACCAGCAAGAAAAGTGGGCCTCCAAAGAAGACACCATCTTAAGACGGTTCTTCCAGGAAAAAAAAAGAAGTTTATCTGAAGCCGGTCCTTTCGGATTCCTGTAGGTTTGGAATTTTCGAGGGATCGGGAAAAAAGGGCCCCATCTTTGGATGTTGGGACGAATTCCATACCCACACTGAAGTAAACATCTTCAAACTTTTAGCAGGGGAGCAGAACGCAACCGAGCTTTGTAGAGGCTCCTCTATAGGGATTATGGATTAGGATTGGCCGACCCTGCATGTTGAACAGCCCAGCCAAAAGTGGTCGCCGTGTTTCACATCGAACCAACAGATTTTCCGTTGCTGGACCCAATCAGTTTGGTGATGTTCCCAAGCTGGATCTCAATATCTCACCCACCCATGAGTTGGCAAAAAGTTAAACGCCTCTCCTTGCTGGCAAAGGGAAACCAAAAGGAAACCACTTTGCGCCACTTTGGGGGAAAACCCAACACTTTGAAAGGCCTAAAAAGGACACAAAACCACACACACACACGCCCATTTTGCTATGAAAGTGAGAAACTCCATTCAGAGGGCGGGCAGAAGCCCAGCGAGTGGGCGAACAGCTACGGTTCGCGTTTGGCAAAAGGAGCGGCTCCGGGACCCAAAGACCCGAGGACGGCATTCGCCATCAGGGTTGTGGGAAATGGAATCCACGAATCTGTGATACAACAAAAAGGGCCTAACCCCAACGACGTTCCACCCCATATAAAGGGGAGATTCCCGAAGATATCACAGAAGTGGGAAGGAACCCCTTGATTCCACAACCCTGATCGCCATGGTCCCCAAAATGGTTGTAAGGAACCGGATGGCTGGGAGCCACCAAGTCCTTTTGACCCTTTGCAGATGGGGTCATTGCCCAAAACTTCAAAAATGTGTATGGCCACATGTTCTAGGGTCTCCAGGAGAGTGCCCAAGAGGAGTTCCTTTCCCAACGTTTCACAGGCACGAAAACAATGCTTCACCGAAGATACCAAAATTCCCTGTAGCACCGCATTCCCTCGCCCACCCCCCACCCCGCATTCCCTCGCCCACCCCCCCCAGTGAGGTTGCTGGAAAATGCTGTGATTGCGCATTCGATCCCTGCAACATGCCTGCATCTTGACGGATCTTGAAGCCTCGCAACACATGGGTATGGGTCAAAATTAAACCAAAAGGAAACCGCAGGTTTTGGCCCATTTTTCCATTTACTCGGGTTCTATTGGGGTGCCCATTTTTGACCCACAGCCACATTCCTCTAACACGGGCATGAATACAGTGACTCAACACCTTCCTTCATCGGGCTCAAGCCCCAATGAGCCGCGCCAGTGTCCAAATCCAGGACCTTTACACTGACCTGTGGGTATGGCTCCAAAAACCGGAATACCAAAATGGAACCCTGGTAAGTGGAAACATGGACCAAAACCCGCGCAGCCCTAGCTCTTGAATTTTGAGCTGTCCTCTTGGTCTCGGTGAAATATATCTATATATATATATTATTATTATTATTATTATTATTATTATTATTATTATTATTATTATTATTATTATTATTATTATTATTATTATTATTATTATTATTATTATTATTATTATTATTATTATTTTATATTTTTTTCTCATCTCCTTGATGACCAACGCCCTGAAAAACCCCAGGTGAACAAGCATGAGGCGATTCTCAACATCAAATCTTCCCGAATCACCTGCTCTACTGTAAGGGGCCACAAGATACGCCATGTGTTCTTCTTATGGTCATGACTTGTTGTTTTGAACTCCCCCACAACCCCACGTTCTCTTGACCTATGCTTAGTGCCGAGTTGCCCTTCTTGTGCTCCTTGTTGTACTTCTTGGCCTCTTCGATTCGGGCCTTCTTAGCCTTCTGCACCTCGCCGCGAGATCGCAGAGATGCGCATACAACAAGATGGTCTTGTTGACCCTGGAGGAACTCGGCTGTCCGTTTTCTGATCCCCCCGCTAAAAGTGAATAACTTTCAGTGGGTGAAATGCAAATCCCCACCAAACACAAAAAGGCTAGAAAGCTAAGAAACCGGATGGCTGGGAGCCACCAAGATAAGAAAGCCTTACTTGTTCGTATGGGGGCTGGGGGCCACTAAAAATTCAGGGACACGCCGAAAAAGAGGTTCAGTTGTCCTGGGTTGACATTATGCTGGTCATGGGTCTTGGACTAATCCAAGGGCTTGAACTTGAAGGATGTGACTTGTTTGATTTGCAAAAAAAAACGCAAACTGAGATCACAAACAACCCCTCCAAGAAGAAAGCTTGGAATTTCATCTGCCCAAATGAGAGATACGCTGCTCATGTGGCGTTCTCTCAAAATGGTGGGCCTGGTCCGTTTAGAAAGCTTGATCGTCTCTTCAAAGCCACCCGTGCCCTCAAACAAAGATAGACTCAAGCACACACATCCAGCCTCGGCGAACTCGGATGTGCCCTTCTCGGAGCTCTTCTGCAGCGCGGCCTTGCGGTCAGTGGAGCCTGGGTTCAGCTCCTCCATGACATCCTTGCTCTTCAAGGCATTGCGCTTCGGGGCAAAGGTGGCCTTCTCCTTCTTGGGGCGAAGCACGGACTGCACCTCAGTGCTGTTGATGATGCGGGCAAGATCTGCGTTCGCCATCGCGGCTCGGGGCAGGTGGTAGCCCTTCTTCAGCGGGGCGCCGCTCTTGTGCGTGCCGTAGATGGCCGACAGCTTCTTGAAGGCGCTCTCTGTGAAGATAGTGAAGCGGCCAAAGTGACCACCAGGTGCCAAGCGCAGCAGGTTGAGGCGGTCAATGTGCGCTGTCTCCACACCGGGGATGTTTCGCATGGCCCGAGTGATGCCCTGGTCCTCATTGTAGATAATCAGGGGGCCGCATGCCTTCACGTATCGGCGATTGCGCGCCTTGCCCTGGCCCGGCCTGATCTTCTTGGAATCGAGGACCCGAGTCAAGTCCTCGCCGCAGCCAAGCTTCTTCAGTGCCTCCACGGCCTGCTTGGTCTTGCTCAGCTTCTCAATGCCATCAGTCACCACCAAAGGCAGCTCAGCCACCTCATTGATGCGGTGACCCCGTGCCATCACCAGGGGAGGCAAGCTGCTGGCAGCCAAAGCCACAGCCACGGCATGGCGCTTCTTGGTGAGGTTCACCTTGCGGTGCCAGCGGCGCCAGATCCTGGTGGGGTTGAACATGCCTCCGCCGCGGGCCTGGTTTCCGAAGGCCGCCTGGCCAGCACGGTGGGTTCCTCCGCCCGGGGCACGGGGGATACGGGCCACAGCTCGGCCGGTGCACCAGGACTCGGCGGCGGTGTCGTAGCCTGCCTTGGCCTTCACGGCGTAAGCCTGGCGCTTGTTCTTGTTCATGTCCCGGTGGACCTGCGGTGTATTTCAGTCGCAATCGAAACCGATCTGCTTGGTTGCTGTTGACCCTCTGCAAAAGTTTTACTTTTTGTGGGATTAATGGAAAACCCCTTGATTTCCCCAACAAGTTAAAGTCTAAAGATCCAACCCAATAGCAGTCGAGTCGGTATCAAAATGGTCTAGCCAGAAACATGTCAAGAACATAAAAGGCAGATATTCGCACCCATTTCAGGCAAGAGGACCATCCCTTACTAACCATCTTCTTGGCTCATCGGAGCAGCGGCCTTTGACCGTTGACTTTTGGTTTGGTTGTAAAGGGCAATATAAGCTGTACTATAATCCCGATAAACACCAAGCAGTAGTCTACCTACTAAAATGTTCACTGGGTTTCTTTTGGGCGCTAACTTGGGGTTGTTCAAGATTGAAACGCCCTTCTAGATTGTGTTTAAATGGACACCGACTGGAGTTTGCTTGAGGCACCAATCAAATATGTTTGGGAAATACTTACCAGTGACCATGCTCTAGTAAAAGCCCACCCTGAAAAATGAACATCACCTTGTGTTCCAAGGAAAAAGAAAGGAACCTGTTGCCATTTTCAGAGTTCCCCCACTTTAGGACTTCTCGGCTGTGCTTTCTGGTTGCCTACACCCTGGCAGACAAGAAGTTTCATTGGCCTGGCGAACTAACGCGAAAGCAACAGCATTAGAGTCAAAAAGAAATCAGCGTCGCTTCGGGTGAGAAAAAGAGGCCTTTCCCAAACCCAAGATGGGTCGACTTGTAGGCCTTCAGAACCGCTCTCTCTCTCTCTCTGACCTGGAAACCCAAGAAATATGTTCAAAGAGGTGTTCTACACTGAAAGAGGGTGTCCGCTTGGTTCATCAATAGGCCAAAAGGCATACCCTGCCTCTGTACCACCTGATCGAAATGTCTCCTGAAAGTGATTTGGACATCGACTGTCTTGAAAAAAGTAGGGGAAATTCCAAACCGATCACTGATCAAGCAAAATGGTCACGCCCAAAAGGATGCGCCGTTTCTCCTGGTACTGAACAACTTAGGGCTTCCTTGCTTCAGGATCCAAAAGAGACCCGGGAATCAGCGTTCGACATTTTCGAAAGGAACCCTTCGATCAGAGCCCCTGACACTGCGATCAGAATGGTAGAAGCACCAACCAAATTCCGGGAAATTGCTTCGGTTCTCCGTGCTTTCCAAACAACTTTGTCTCATCTTGAGTCGAATGCGGCTAAAGCTTTGGAACGAGGTGGGCCGTTGGTTTCCTGGAACGCTGCGACACAAAAGGCCATGGGTCAAAATCCATGGAAGAACCCCCAGTGAACATCCCAATCCAACCAGTAAAATAGACTAAAATGGGTGGTGCACCTACCCCAAAATGGTACCTGGTTTTGACCCACCGTTTTGTGGCGAGTTGCCCGAAACAATGCCATGGCGCTTCCTTCAAACTGGGACAGATATTCGCCGCAGAGCGCGGCAACCTCATCTCTTGGAAGCTTCTTTGCTTCCCGCCGAAGAAAGGATTACCCCTTGGGGTTGTTGCACTGCCCCGCGGCGAAAAAAGAAAAGCCGCCCTACGTCCCTCCAGGCTTTCAAAAGAATCCCGAAGCTGAACTTTCCAGGGCGAGTCCATGAGAAATCCAGGTTTCGTCCACTTCTTATGAAGCCCTTTACCCCCCCCCCCCTTTTTACCCCCCCCCTTTTGGGCCAAATGGGTGGGACGCTGGCGGACGTCTTCCAACCCATCAGAGTCTTCTGGCTCGCTCAGCCCGTCGCTCCGAGTCCGGAGTCCCGAGCCCCGCCTCCCGGACCAGGTCGGGGCGCAGAGGGGACTGCATCACGTGGGGCATGACCACGGTCCCGGTCTGGCGCTCGCGCACGCCGCGGCCGGGAAAAGAGAAAAAATCCCGCGGCTTCCCTTGAGACCTCAGCTCTTCTTTAGAAAAGGCAGGAATCAAATGTCCGGGCGATGTCTGCTTGGCATGTCTCAGGATAAAGCCAAGCGCCCCAAGTTGACTCATCTTGCCCTTTGGCTCAATTAGTGAGCCGGTGAGCGATGAGTGAAAGGAAGTTCTAGTGCCAGAATACGAAAGCCCATTTTCCGAATCCGCGCGAAGAAGAAAAAAAACGAAGACGTCGGGGCCCGGGCCTTCTCCTTGGGGTTCTCGAAGTTGTAGACGGAGACCACGGGCCTGCAGGTCGCCATGACCTGAAAAGCGGATCCGAGCGCGCGAGCAGCCCCCCCCCCCCCCGCCTGCCGTTGATTGGCTTCTTCGTTGGCTTTGGCGTGAAGACTTCATGAGGCGTGTGAATTCAGTGGTGTCTTTTTTGGGGCTATGTCTTAAGAGTGCCCCTGATTTTGTTCAAGGGCTATCCCAGAGACGAAACAAGGTTTGAACCTCAGTTGAGGTCTCTTTAAAAAGCCCCATCATGGACGATACACCCAAGAAAAAACAGTATGGCGGTATGTATCTGGCTTTGGAGCCCCAATAGACCTCATTCAGGTCGGTCAAACTTGTCTGTAAAGAGGTTCCCAAATGGGCGAGTCACTCTCAACATCCCCCACTCAAATCGAGGGAAGAGAAATGGAACAACCTCAATGGGTCATCCATGGGGGGGGGGGTGTTCAAAGTGTGCTGCTTCAGACTAAGAAAGTTGGCAACCTGGTGGATTCATAGAACATGTGCCCCCAAAAATTAAAGACACATCTCGAAGATGGGGTCCAGAACCCGAACCAAAGGGTTGAGAAATCCGTGAGTTCCTTTTGCTCGCTTCCTGAATGGATGGACCAAACAGAAAGTGCAAACTGTATCTTTTTCTCTGCCACAGCGATCCTTACATTATACACCTGAACATCGCCTTGCAATGGTGGTGTCCCTTTATTTGGGTGGAAAAAGCCATATTTCAAATGGTTGCAAAATGTATCTTTTAAGGAGCCCTGTACCACTACAATGGCCTTCGTCTTCCCAAAAAGTTTATAGTGCCGGGCACTCAGGCAGGTTGGCTGCCGCCTTTCCCTAAAACACCTCCGCTTTCTCATGGTAGTGCACGGAACGTAGATGATCCACCAGAGCTCACGTCAAGGGCTTTCGCCCATGGTACACTCAACTGAAAGTCAAGTGCCTCCAAACAAGCCATGGGCATGGTGTCCCACTAAATTGGCAAACATCCCTTGTGATACAGTACCAAACTGGGGGTCCCATCTCTATGTCATACTGTGGATGGACAAAATCCTGCACCACCTTGAAACCATGGGCTGGTTGGTATTTGCAGAGGAGTCATCATACCGGGGATCCTTAGGTCAGGATGTTGTCCATCCAAATGTTGACCCCAGATTAATCAACCGCAGTTTATTAATGGGGGTGGTTTTGGCCCCCTCCAATAGTGGTCTGATTCCCCACTAAACCCAGAGAAAAGCACCCCCTATTAATAAACTAGGGTCAACATTGTCATTTTACCGGGGACTTCCCTAACCACAAGGCCATGGCAACCTGTGACCTTTGACGACTAAGCGCGGCACGGATCGAGTTGATCACAAAGATCGATGCCTAATTGCCGAAGATCAGATATCCCTGTGAGCCAAACGCGGAGGCGCCAGGTGCCAAAGTCTGCTGATTCCTACTGGACATGGGAAAATGAGGAAGGCCCCTGAGATTCCCCCCCAAATACCCTCCTGGACATGGAAAAGAATTTGAGCGGCCCCTGGTTCTGTTGGTTGAATTCTCCTGTCCTTCCCACACTGGCCAAACTTCAGATTAGCCAAACACCCGAGCACCAGCCTTCCGGTGCCTTCTAGCGGGACACTGGAAGAGTCAATCAGGCACTTAGACTTTGGACTCGGTTTATTGAGGCCGCGTTCGGGTAAGAAGCGAGATCTGAGATTTTACTCAGCGAGACTATCCCGGTAGGGTTCCATGCAACTGCCGATCGGTCTAGGGTTTTGTATCTCAGGGCGTCTTTTTTTCAGTTGCAACAATCTCCGACTTGGGTCCAAGTGAGCCACGGTCAAAACCCGGGTAGATCAGGGTCAGTAAGGATAATCCCAACCATAAATAGCTGCGGATATCCGCCTTCCTACTTCTTTACCTGGGATTACGACCATTTGAATACCGGGCGTTGATTGCGACTCACGTGATCCAATTCATCGAGAAGCCAAAGCCCGGGCATTCGGAGAGGTCCACGTACAACTCACAGCCCCTGCTTCTGCTTGGATCCCGTTTCCCCATGGCCGAGGATCTTTTCGAGGGGTTGACCTCGGGCACCCGAAACACGCGGGCAGAAAAAAGGGGGGGGGGACAAGTTGCAGCGGCTGTACCCGTTATTAAAAAAAAAAAAAAAAAAAAAAACGCCGGGTTTTGATCCGAGGCTGCGGCTTAATCAGCTCCCTGGCACAAGGGAGAGAAATGTGGATCCAGACAGCACCAAATTGCGGTTCCTGCTTGTCATTGGGTGATATTGCTTGGCGTTGTTTCTCCAAGTTTTATTTTTTGGAAAGAATCAAGTTTTTCTCAGAGGGTACCTTTTCAGGAGGTGCTTACGCCCGACCCCTTTGAACCCCCCCCCCCCAAATAAGAAAAGAACAATTCCTTGGGTTCGGGAGACCTGTCAAGGGGCGACCCAAAAAATGGCGAAAAACGGTTCTCAAATTTTGGCTTCCCTTTAAAACCGCCAACAAAACAGGGGGACCAACTGCAAAAATTGTTGCTTCCCTTTAAAACCACCAACAAAACAGGGGGACCAACTGCACAAATTGTGGTGTCCCTTTGAAACCGCAACAAACAGGGTACCGAGCCTCAAAAAAGGACAGACCCAGTTCAACTGCCACTCTGTCACTCGATTCGAAGCCTCTCACAGAAAGCCGAGAGACCGTAGGCCGAGAGACCGAAATCTTCGAACCTTGTGACTTCCAAGGGCCCTTACCAATGGTCTTAGGTCTTGTTCGGTTTCACTGGAACCACTGAGTTGGCATTGTGTTTCTTTTGTTTGCGTGTTTTCTTGTTGTTTTTCCCTTGCTTGCTTTTTGTTTCTTGCTCTTGTTTTCCCTTGTATGTTTCCCCTTCTTTCCCCCCCTCGTCCCTTTTGTTTGACTCACAACAACAAAAAAACGAACGCCGGGAGACAAGGTGGACTCTCGAAGCCAAAGGATCCAAGAGAGGTAAGAACCAAAGGCAAAGAGCTCGCAGGCCGGGCCGTAGCGGGAAAAAAAAGGGACGGCGGGTGTGGGATGTTTTTGTTCCCCTTTTTTTTACTTTTATTGTTTTTCTTCTTTTTAATTTTTTCGGGTTGTTTGTTTTTCATTTCTTCTTCTTTTTCAGGTGGCTTGGTTTGTATGGCCTTGACCTTTTGGATGCCCGGCCTAAACTCGGTCGCCCCGCCTAAGAAGCGAGCCTTAACAAATCCCGGCTTTCGGGCCATCGGAGCCATGGCACTTCTTTTTTTTGGGTAAGTCGGTTTGAAGGGGACACCTCCAACAACGAGAAATACTTGGGGCCTTGGACGAAAGCGTTCGGCTTCACTCCGCCCCTCCAAATACACGGATGATGCGAATGTGAGCTTTTGCGGCAAGGCAAGACTGTTGCATTGCTTCCAACATATGAAGCAACACCTCTGGTTCTACCATGATCGCAAAGATTTATGTACGCCCTTGCAATCAACCCAATTAAAGCAGTTAGAGCCGCCTTCCAAAATGCTGTGGGTTTTGAGGGCGCTGCTCATGTGCCTTCGGAAGAGGACACCAGGAGTGGGCTTGTTTTAGCACTCCCAACCTAAATGGCGTCCAATCAAAATTCATACCCATTCCTCATGGTTTAGGTTGCAAGCCAACGAGCAACCAACCCTGAGCAAACCTGGGTTGGGGAATAGTTGCTTCAACCAAACCCTGGTCAGTTTTCAGGGAAAGCCAAAAGGAGGTTTGACCCTCCCCCCAAAATAGGGTAAAAGGGCACTACGGGGGGGACCTAGTTGAACTGTTTGGTGGTTTAAACCTCTTTGGCTGCCTGCAAACCCCTGACGCTCGAGCAGAGCGCGAGAGCGAGCCTTGGATCTGTGGCGGCGTCTTCTATGTCGCTTCCTCTCTGGCTCTCCTGGCCAGCGCGCACGGAACCCCATGCCAGGAAAACATGGGAGCTGCAAATACAAATCACGGTTGCTTTCTGCTCCCCCGCTCAAAGTTTAACTTGTAATGGTTTAATGGAAAACCCATTAGTTGGCAAAAAGCTAAAGTCCTAACATCCAAGCAAAATGCACCAAAGAAATGCCGCCGACGCCCCCGCAAAGGAATCCGGAGGCTCCTGACTGCTGCCGTGTATTTAGGGTCCATGCGGATAAGTCTTGCGTCAAGGCTCGGTACCCTTGTTGGGCTTGAAAAGGAAACCAGACGGACATCTGGCTCTCCAGGCGAAGCTGAACACAAATGCTGCCGACTGCCCGAAAGGGAATTTGGGGATTATGCCCATTCTTGGTATTGTTGTCAGAATTGCTTCTATCATCATGACCATTACTACTTATACGCTAGTATGACTATCAATTCCTATGACTGCTTTTGCCTGAAATCCACTACTCTTGACCGCCATTGCTTGCATCCTGCCTGCGGGTGCAGCCGGACAAAAATCCAGGTGACAACCAGCAACGATATGACAGCAATCCTTAAACCCCGAACCCTAAACCTAGAACAAGGCCGTTCTGCCCTCGCTACGCTGAGGTCTACACCTGAGATGTAATAGTGATCCTTACATTATACACCTGAATATTGCCTTGTAAATGGTGGCTTCCCTTTATTTCGGTGGAAAAACCATGTTTCAAATGGGCATTAAATGTATCTTTTAAGGAGCCCTGTGTAAACATGTTGTATACCATCCTCTTGTTAGTCAAGGGCCCAAGGGCAAAGATAGAAGATCTGGGAAATGATTCTAATCCACAAAGCGGAGACAAGCAATCCTCACGTAAGGGACCTTCACGGTGAGCTGGATTGCTGAGTTGTTTTTTTATATAATCTGCCGTCCATAAGATGTGACCAACCGTCCACAGTCTTGCTGATTGTCAAGAGGTTCCTTGGGTGATGGCCCGGATGCTTCCTTGGGTTTGTGGTAGGCATGATCTTGGGCGTGTCCCAAACTGCAGCAACTACACAACCCCACTTCGCCAGTAGCCCACAAAGGCTCCAACTCGCGAACAAAGCTAACGATGCGTGGTTTTCTTTTAGATGGG